AAAGAAATAGCTGAATAGGCAGCTGGGTGGGCATGGTGGCACACCTAATTTCAGCACTGGGGAGGAAGAAGTCTTGAGTTTGAGGCCAGCCTGGTCTACATAGCAAGTTCCAGGCCAGCCACAGCTACCTAATCGAGGCCCTTTCTCAAAAAAATATATAAATATATAATAAAGATATGTAACCAGAACCTCTCCCTAATTCAAGGACTACTCTTTTTTCTTTTTTCCCTCAGTACTAGGGATGGAACCTGGGCCTTGAGCCCGTTAGACTAGCACTCCATAACTTGAGCTATCTTTAAATCCAAAGTACATTATTTACAGACAGCATAGTTTGGCCATGCTTCATTTTCTCAACGCCTACGCCAAGTCTGTTTTTTCACACATAATTGCAGTGAAGAATTCCCATTGATTAGTTTGTGCCCTGCCTGTCCTTTCTTATCCTTGTTTCAACTATCACTTCCTTTTTGTGATTTTTGGGGGGGAGGTGTTTTAATTCACTTATATTTTTTACTTTTCCTGTGATTACATCAGGAAGTACAAATTAATATCATCAATTTGTAAGTTTTAATACCAATCTAGCATCAATAACATAAAACTCTGCTCCTGTTGTTACTGTCAACATTTACATTTTTATAAAAGGTGCCAGGTAGCACAACTTCTCAGAACACTAGCACCAGCTCTTAATACTTCCCTTTACTGGAGATCTTTATTTTCTTACCCTCTCTCGGCAGGAAAATGAACGTTTTTCATGTTTTATGCCACATTTTATTTTTCTGTGGATCTATTCATTTTTCTACCTTTCTTTTTATGGCACCCTTTGAACATTAAGGGTTTGTATTAAAATATCTTTTCAAGTTTTGTCTCAGGTTCTTATAAGAAATTTTCTGTCTTCATCCTTAACCACGACAGTGCCATGTTTTGATTACTGTAGCTCTAAAATGTCCTAATGACTGGTGAAGCAAATCTCCTGCCATGGTACCATCAGGAGATGAGCCTATGATGCTAGCACTCAGGAGGTCAGGAGTTCCAGGCCAGCTGGTTCACGATACTGTCTCAGAGAAACACCCCCCCACAAAAAAATAAAAGATAAAAGAAAACCTTACATCTTTTAAAAATACCTTATGACGTCTGCCTTCCTATTCAACCATTATTCAATTAATATCAAACATTTATGTTCTTTCCCTATTAAACTATCTTGTACCACATTTGGTTAATCTTAACCTTGTAGTGATGCCCTTAAGTTTTATTTTTATTATTTGTGTGTGTGTCCGTGTGTGACCTGGCCTGCCCAAGTGGGGATTTTTTAAAATATATTTTATTTAATATTTTTATTTTATGTGCATGAGTGTATTGCCTGCATGTATGTGAGTGCACCCGTGCCATGCAATGCTGCAGAGGTCCTAAGAGGGTGTCAAGATTCCCCTGGAACTGTAGTTAAGGATGGTTCATAGCCACCATGTGGGTGCTGGGAATCAAACCTGGGTCCTCTGCAAGAGCAGTCAGTGCTCTTAACCGCTGAGCCATCTCTCTAGCCCCCCAAGCAAGTTTCTGATTCAACAATTTTTCGTGCCCGCTATGCATCTTAGATGCAACAGGCATTATATTTTAACCTCTTTCATATGAAACATGTCTTGGTTATTTGGCTTGGCACTCCTTGAATCTGCTACCAACCTCATTAGCCCTTTGCTCATCTGGCTCTGTTTCTCCAACTTTGCACATTCTTTCTAGCTTCCAGGCCCTTCACATCATGTCCCTCTGCCTAATCATCTCATTCATTTGGTTAAACATCTCAGAAAGCCTTTTCTGGTCCTTTGCACATTTCAATTAGGTTCCACTCATCTCACCATGTATTTCTTCATTGAAACATACACCACCATTCATAAATGTTTAACATGCTGTCTCCACTACCATGACTTTTAGTAAGACTGTGTACTTGCCCACCCCTGCTGCATACCCAGTATCTAGCAAAATATGGCATAAACACATAGATATACACATATACATATGTCCTTGTTAAATGAATTTTAAGTTATCAATGATTTGAAAGACAGCTTTATCTAAGGAACAGATCATCTTCTCCTAACCAAGTGATACCTCATATTTAAGAGAAACAAAGAATTATCTATAATGATTTAAAACTAGTAAGCGGTTGGAGAGATGGCTCAGTGGTTAAGAACACTGACTGTTTTTGCAAAAGACCCGGATTCGAATCCCAGCACCCACATAGCAGCTAACGACTATCCGTAACTCCAGTTCCAGGGGATCTGACAGCTTCTTCTGGCCTCCGTAGGCATTGCATGACACAGGTACACTTACCTACATGCAGGCAATACACATAAAGTAAAAATAATAAAATATCTTAAACTAGTAAATAACAGGAACAGGATACATTTTTGTTACTGAGAGAGAAAAAAATTCCTGACTTGAAAAGGAAAATGGGTTCATTACTGAAAACGTTTCAGCAATGCAAAGCTTACAGCCAAGATAAGAATGAGCATTTTAAAAGCCCGTCTAATTTCCACCAGGATAAACAGAATTTACTTATACACTGTTCTTTTTACATCTAGGTCATTATTGATCTGTAATGGACTTGCAGGATCACCTGTCCTGTTTTATTTATTGAATCTAATGAAACAGTTCCTATTTTAGAATTTTTCTTGAAGTGTGTATTAAAAAAATACTTCAGTGAAGATAAAAGATACTTAGATCCTTCCAAAGATTCTATTTCTGGTCTCTGCCCACTTTGTCCCCACACACTACAGGGTAAAACTCTTCCTTTACACTAGTATTACTACTAACAGAACAAAAACACAATACACAAAGCATACTGGAAATATTTGGTTCTTTTTAATCAGCTACTGATGGTATAATAAAATAAATTCAAGTGGCACCTAATTTAAACATTTACTAATTCATGGAGGGATGACCTACAGCACAATGCTAAGTCTAACGTCAAAACAATACCTTTGTTTTTTAAAAAAAAGGAGGGATGACGGCATGATCAAGATTATGATTAACAATGTGGGTTCATGTAGGTACACTGGCAGGCACAATGTCAAAACCCAACCCAATGAACTCAGAATAGTATGTTTTGTTTTTTAAAGGAAAGATACACATGATGTCTGAAAATAAAGTAAAATATCCACCAAATATCAACAGATTTTTTAATAACTATTTAACATTAAGATTATAGGGAACATCTTTTTTCTTGAACACTGAATTAAATGTTCATTGTATTAAATAATTTGTAGAGAGAACTAAAATCTGTATTCTGTACAAATTGAAGGGCCCATAAACATACTCCCTCCTCCCCACAGCCAAAGCTCAGCAGAAAATAAACAGTCCACAATTTAAACAGAATGCATAGCATTACAAAAGTATACAGAACCCCTATGTTTTCATCATTTTGTTCTAACAGCAAAGATTACAATGACAGAACTGAATAATTAGAATGTAAATGTTTGTGCAAAACTGCAGTGATTGTTCTCACCATCTGAAGGGGTTAAAACTAAGAAACAACACAGAAAATGAAGAAAACTACACTGAAAGTATTCTCTATGTCAAACAGGGATTATACTACTCCTAAACATGGGAAAAGACTGTGGCATCATGAGCAGCAGGAGCAACAAACGATTCTGGGTCATGCCAGCTGAGCAGCACTGGCGCGGGGTATGCAGCCCATTTCCACCATAGCCATCCGCCAGAGACTTCAAATAAATGCCAGCTTAAAACTCACTTCAATGTCTTTATTCTTGTATGTGCAGGTCATAGAGAAATGTTTAAGAAAGTTCTTCCCTCCCTCTCCAGAAGTGTTTCATGTGTCGCTGGTAATCCTTAGAAGAGCTGAATCATAGACTCTCTGGATTTCCCTACGCCAATCCATTTAACTGAAAAACAAAAGGAGAATCATAGCAGCTCATTTATGACATGAGCCACACCCCCAGCTCGCCTTCATTTAGAAATAAAAGCAATGTAGTATTTTAAAAAATAGAGATTTGGGGCTGAAGAGATGGCTCAGTGGTTAAGAGTATTTGCTGCTCTTGCAGAAGACCTGGGTTTGATTTCCAGCACCCACGTGGTGGCTAGCAACCATCTATAACTTCAGTTCCAGAGAATTTGATGTCCTCTTCTGACCTCTGCAGACATTGCATGATACAGGTGCACATACATACACGCAGCCAATACACTCACATACATAAAAATAAAAAAATTAAAAGCTACTTGAGTTGGACATGGTGGTACACGCCTTTGATACCAGCACTTGGGAGGCAATATGAAGCAAAACAAAACAAGCTGGGCATGGTGGCACATGCCTTTAATCCCAACACTTGGGAGGCAGAGGCAGGCAGATCTCTGTGAGTTCAAGGCCAGCCTGGTCTACATCGTGAATCCCAAACAAAGATCAAAAACAAAACAAAACAAAAAAAAGTGGAGACTCAAAGTAAAGTATCAGGTTTTGCGCAAATATCAGTGACAGGTACTATGAGTGATTGACTGGCATAAATTCTTGCCACACAATGCCCATGGAGGTCAGAAGAGGGCACCGGATTCCCTGAAACTGGAGTTACAGAGAGTTATTAGCCACCATGTAGGTGTTTGGAATCAAACCCAGGTATTTTGTAAGAACAGCCAGTGCTTTTAACCATCTCTCCAGCCCCTGGCATAAATTCTTAAAAGTTAATGTATTTCTCAAAAGCAGTAATAATGAATATTGAGTTGCTTTGATGTCAAAAGCATAGTAGTATAGTATAGTTTTGTTAGATGATTTGATATATAGTAGAAAATTTATTTAAATGAACTAAAATATCTATTAATGTAAACTTGAGAATCAAAAAATGTTTCTGAGGATTTTATAAGGTTCATCCATGTAATATAATTTTAACATATTACAAAAAAAACATAAAACATGGTTTGATTGTTAACCTTTATATTAAGAAATTTGTTTAAAATTGAAAAATTTCTAATATTGTATTTGGAGCACTTTCTGTTTTATTGTAAGCCACAGAAAGTGAAGGAAACACTGCCTATCTGTAGACGGCATGATCTCAAGAACGATGTCATCTTTAGGATATTAGAAAACCAAGCTGCAAACATTACCTTTGCATCAGGCTTTTCCCCCTATAAGATTTCTTTTCATATATTGGACAAAAATTTATGAACTGGTTGCAGTCTTTATTTTAAAAATAAACATGTATCTTTTATAACTTGTGTTGTGCCAGGAGGTAGAACTAGTGTTTCTAAAACTATTTTATTTTAATATAACTCCACCTGTGTCATATAATGCCTGTGGAGGTCAGAAGAGGGTATCAAATTCCATGGAACTGGAGTTACAGGCATTGTTAGCTGCCATGTGGGTGCTGGGAATCAAACCCGGGTCTTCTGAGCAGCCAGTGCTCTTAACCACTGAGCCATCTCTCTACTCCTCTAAAATTATTTTGTGTATTTTCATTTCTGGACCATAGTGGAGTCAATTATTGTCATTCGACCTTAAGATAATTTATTCACAAAATAAGTATCAGTTATGTTACCAATAAAGGTGACTTTCCAAGTTCTTTCTTTTTTTTTTTTTGGTCTTTTTGAGACAGGCTCACCCTGTCACCCTGTAGCCCTAGCTGGCCTGGAACTTGCTATGTAGACCAGGCGGACCTTGAACTCACAGAGATCCACTGGCCTCTGCCTTCCAAGTGCTGGGATCAAAGGTACGTGCCACCACACCTAGCCGAAATTATTCTTAAAATAAAAATTTATACTCTACGTCAAAAACAGAGAAGTAGGTATCCCTCTACTTTTCTCAGTGACGCTGTCAGCAGCCTGTGTGCACTTCCTTCTAGAAAAAATACACACTTAGGATCCAACACAGGCTAGTCTGCTCTTATTCTGTTTTTGTTTGTTTTTTGTGCTTTTTGTTTTTTGTCTTTTTGAGACAGGGTCTCCCTGTAGCCCCAGCTGTCCTGGAACTCACTGTGTAGACCAGGCTGGCCTTGAACTCACAGAGATCCGCCTGCCTCTGCTGGGATTAAAGGCATGCGCCACCACACCCGGCTCTTATTCTGTTTTTACCTACAAAGTATTTACAGTTTCTTCACTCCTAATGATTACGATAGTAAAATACTGGTCCAACTAGCGGAAACACAAAGAATCACTAACCACCTGTGCCACATAGCTCTACATTAGATGTAGAATTACTGGCTTCCATAAGATACTGGTAGGAGAAACCTTTATGGTATTTTATAGGGGGCATTAAGACTCAGCTATTTATATTTCAAAAAATGTTGACTAAAAGCAGCAAGCAAATATACTGAATAAATTTGTCATCAGCTGGGAGGGGCCAGTAGCAATCTGGAAAATGCAAATCAGTTTTGAAATGATTCATGAATAAAATGAAACACAGGAGAGATTCCCAGGAAGAACACAACATTATTTGTGGAATGTCCCGCCCTCCTACTTTTTCTTGTCTTTAATTCCCATCAATGCAAACAAAAGATGAAGGGGAAAAGCAATCAGATAAGAGAAAGACTTCATTATTTCATTATGCACAATCCTGGGCCACCTTGTTTTAACTGTAATACAATAGTTATATCCATTCTGTATTATTTTGTTTGCTTTTTCTGAGACAAGGTCTTGTTATATAGCTCTGCCTAGCCTTAAATGCACAACAGTCCTCCTGCCTCAGCCTTCCAAGAGCTGGGACTACACCACCACACCCACTTCATTCTTAACTATTGCTTTTTATTTTTTGCTAATGAGATTTTCCTTTTTTGTATCAATTATTTATTTCCTAATGTTTACTCAAGAGTCCAACTTTTAAGAGTGGTTTAACCCAAATGAAAACAATAACTCCCCCAGTTTCTGTTAAGTTACAAACAAATGATTAATCAAGAGGGATGATGAATATGTCATAGGGTTAAAAACCAACAACAACAACGTACTAACAGAAAATTAAAGACAAAGAAAGAGGCAGTTTATTATCTTTAATTTACTCTAAGAAATAAAATTATTACTTTATATCATCCTGGACATTTATGGAAATCTGAGCACTTTTCCAACTACTAAACTTGTATTCTATTTCAAAATATGTTAAAAGTAGAAAAAGAAAGTTGTTCATAAATTGTTTACCTGGAATTTGAAGCTCATCTTCAATAAAGCGAACGTAATTTTGTGCATTGATAGGCAGCTCTTTAAATGTCCTTGCATTTGATATATCTGTGGTCCACCCTGGGAGAGTCTTATACTGAACTTCCACTTTATTTAAGACTTCTTGGTTTGCTGAAAGTTAAGGAGCATATGTGTTTATGGTACATATTGTCTATTATCAAGTGACTTTTTTGGAGACAGGGTCTCTCTTTAGTCCGGGCTGGCTGGCCTTCTACTCTTGGCAATCCTCCTCCCTTCAGCCTATCCAAGCTCTACAATTAAGGGGCATGAACCATCATGCTGAGCTCAAATGACTCTTTGACAAAGTACATGCTTATGGACATTTATCAAAATCCTTGGAACTAGATGTGTTTCAAAACTTGGGATTTTTGAGACTTTAGGAAGGTAAAAATCAGTATGTATACCATGCAGGGTAGTATTTTATAAACAAACTTTTCTTCAGCAATATGGGAATATACACTGTAAATGGAGAAAGATTACACAGCTGCAACATCAGTTCCAGCTGCTATCAAATGAGTTGTGCCAAGCTTTAAACTTTCCATTTCAGGAGCATTTTGAATTTCTATACTATTAACTAAGCAGCACCTTCAAGAAGGTTTGCATATCTGCTATCCTGAGAAATCTGTTGTGGAATGAAAATGCTCTTCATTATTCCACCTAATGCCTTTCTATCTCCTGCTGAAAAAGCCTGTACACTAAAGATGATGATGAGCACGTAGATGCTATGGTATACTAACTATTCAGGTTTCCCTGTTCAAGATCAAGTTGTAGGGGATCATCTACTGACTGCTCACAATTTAGAGCCTCCCTCCATGGATCAGCCCAATTCCAATGACTTCTTGGTATGAGAATAGAGGACCTGGTCATTTACCTTTATTTGGGACAACTCTGAAGGGCCAATCTAGCCTCAGAGCTCAGAGCTCCAAAAAGGATCACCCTATAGTTGCCTTTCGTGCAACGATATTGTTTCTCCCTCTGTCTAATCCTGCTTCCCTCACAGATATCACTGCTCAGAGCACTATGAACCAGGGTGTGAATCTCAAGGGCACAGTCTGTGTCCTAAAGAATTCACCCTAAGATAGCTGGTATCAATGGTCTGAGAAAAAAAGCTCTAAAATGGGAACCTGGAGCAGGATCCCCAGGCAGCTGGCTGGCAGTGAGAACCCTCACTGCAGAGGATGGACAGCCTGAAATTCTGCATAGCAGCTGCTAACGCTTTCACGGGAATGAACTGGGTGCCAGGCTAGTGAGTGCAAAGTAGCACAATGTCTGGGGCACTAAGAAACAAGCAGGGGGACAATGAACTGGATGGCTCTTGAACGTCATACAAGAACTGGAGAAAGTCAAAGTCTGAAAGGCTTTCACCTGTGTATAGCAAAATGCACATGCCAGGGAGGGCCGACTATTATCACCTAAAGAAATCAGTCTACTACAACAGAGAGCAGAACGGGGCAAGGATTTGGCTCAGACTCAACCACACAGAAGCAGAGTTCCAGAGAAGGCCAAGTTCTCCAGTCGAACAAATCTGTCATGACAAAGCCAGAGACCTGTATGGGAAAGCAGGACCCAAAATAGAGACTAGAGAAGATCTCACGGGGCTTGAAGAACAGGTACGTTAATGTACTGAGAGAGAAGAGACCAAAAGAAGCAGGGTCTTTTCTTTTACCATTTTCTTTTACCCAAGGGAGAGGCAAACCCCTCTATGGAAATCACTCAAAAAAAACTTCCTCCCTCCCTCCCCACCTCCCTCCCTCTCTCATTGTTACAGATGGGTCTTGCTATGTTGCCCAGCCTAACTTTGAACTCATGGGCTCAACTGAGCCTCCCGCTTTGGGCTTGGGCTCCTGAGTAGCTGGGCTACAGACATGGACCACCACACCTGGCTTGTGTCTAGATGCTATTATCAACATAAGGAAGCAGCAGCATGATCCATGCGTCTTTCTTATTTTGAGTTCAAGCACATGCCTGCTGTGACCCAACACTGAAGTCAATACTAGTTATGAATCAAATGTTAATAGTGAACACATTTGCATTATTAGTAAAATAAAAAAACCACGCCTGTGGAAGATACTCTTATAAAAGTTAAATACCATCCAAAATGTACCTGGAAAGTGAGGTATGATTTCACCATCTAATTTGTAAGCCACTCCAACTTTGATTTCTGTAAACATGTCCAGAATGTCCAACTTGGTAAGGGCCAACCTAATTTTGGAAGGAAAAGCAATGTTGAAATAAACTTTTAACATCTAATCTGACTAGTACAAGAGTAAAGGGAAATCCATGCAAAGCTCAAGGTTCCAAAGCAATTCTGAAAACTGGTTAGGATTATATTTCAAGCGTGCCACACGTTAGACACTGGAGGACACTATGTTGATACACATTCTTCATTATCTGCCAATTACTTTCTAGTAATTACAACAGATTTTTCACTGGTGGCTCCACACTTGCTCAGCTTTCTTATGGGGGGCCAGCAGGACTGATTTGCAGGAAGGCAGCCTGGAGTTAGGGATGTACTCTGTGCCACAGGACAGACACATCAGTATGCTTCCACACATGCTGCCACCCCCAGTTCTTCACTCTGGTTAACATCACCTCCACCCTTCTGGTCAGAAATTGACAGAGTGAGGAAACAACATCAAGGACCTCTTCGTGATACATCAAAGTTTCCCCAAAACTGACCGGAAAACAGCATTTTAAGGGAAAATCTGTAGAAATTAGATAAAAGACTAGGTTTGGGATTCTGGTTCACAACTAATTTCCCCCTCTTATTTATTCTGTTGTTTGCCATAAACTCAGCCTAATTAATGCAGACAGACACATTTGTTTATGTATTCATATATGAAGGCTAGCAACTCTCCGGAGTACTTTCAACGAGCTGGACAGTATGCTACAGTTCTCACTACTTTGCTCACCTCAGCAAAAGCACCTCTAGGATGTGGGTAATACCATAACCTCAGTTTTAATATGAACTGAGACACAAGACTAGCACACCCAGCTGCCTAGGATAATGCACAGTCTGAGATCTGAATCCTAAAAAGTCAGACAGTAACTTCACACACTACAGCACTACAATCATCACCTGCCTGTGTATATGTACTGTGTCACTATCCACCTACCCAGCCATCTATTCCCCTTCCCACCTACCTCACCTCCTGTACACATACACAGGTGAGACTATCATGATTCTTTTCTACAATATTGGACATCTAGGGGAACAACTTGGGTTCCTCTTCCTTGGGTACCCTTCCCTATAAATAGTTTTTAAGATAGAGTCTCCTTGTAGCTCCTGCTGGCCTGGAACTTGCTATGTAGACCAGGCTAGCCTCAAAATCAAAAGATTCGCCTGCCTCTGCTTCCTGAGTGCTGGGACTAAAGGAGTGTGCCACCATGCCCAGCCTCTTTCCTTCTATCCTGTTCCACTTCTACTTGGAACTACAATTTTAATTTGGAGACAAAGGAGTAAAGTTTATTACGGCACTATTCTGAGGTTTACACGCCATGAAATTAAATTTGTGGCCTTCAGCTCTCCACGATTTCCCGAAATAAATGCTTCTAAAGAACACTCACGCTGTAAATCCATTGATCATATGAGCATATTTCAGTAGAACGAGGTCTAGCCAGCCACATCTTCTTTTCCTCCCAGTAGTTACACCAAATTCTCTACCCCTTGTTTGTAGCAATTCTCCAATTTCCTAGATAACAGAAAACAAAGCTTATAAATGAAAATATCAGTGCTATAAATCTAGTGGAATTATATTATAAATTATTTAATAGGCCAGTATATCTTTTGATAAACATCTTTCATAAAATAATTAAGCTGAAGAAAGAATTCCACGATGATAAAGGATTATTTGGGATATAATCAGTTTTTATTACATTTATACCCTTTTAATTTTGTCTTTTTGAGATAGGGTCTCCCTGTAGCCCCAGCTGGCCTGCAACTTACTATGTAGATCAGGCTGGCCTTGAACTCAGTGATCTGCCTGCCTCGACCCGAGGCTGGGATTGAAGTCGTGTGCCACCAAACCCAGCTACATTTGTACCATTTTTAAGCCATTATTTTTTACAATGTTATACATAGGTCAACTGTAGATTGGCAGATAAACAACTAAATGTTGTCTATTAAGAACAAGTTGTTATAACTTAGGTAAGTATCCCCAAGAAGTCTCGGATGTTGAGGGCTTGGTCCCCATCAGTTAGTGCTACTGTGATGTGACCACAGAATGAGGACACTGACGTCACAGTGGATTAACCCACTCATCAACTCTTGGCTGAATGGGTTATCGAGAGGTGAGGTTTTGTTGGGGTGTGCCTCTGCAGGGACATTTGATCCTTATACCCGTCCTCTCACCGTGCTCACTGCTTCCTATTTGTCATGAAATGAACAGCTTCCCTCCACTGCCATATGCCTTAATGTGCCTTATGCCATAATGTGCTGTCTTACTACAGGCCCAGAAACATGAAGCCAAGTAACCATAGAACAAAACCATGAACACAAATAAATCTTTTCTCTTTCTAATTTCTCATGTACTTTTTATAGCAATGGAAAAACTAACACAAGTCATTAGTATTTACTAACACAGATAAACCCAGCCAATTGTTCCAAGAACTGACGTTTTATTGTTTTCCTGAAAATTATATAAGGCAAACATTGAATGACTGTTGATCCTTGCAAATGAAGAGAAAAGCACAAGACTTCATGGGAGCTGGGGCGGGGGGAGACTGGAGAGCTGACTCAGTGGTTAAGAGCACTGGCTACTCTTACAGAGGACCCAGGTTTGGTTCCTAGCACTGACATGGCAGCTCACAACCATTCTTAGCTCCATTTTCAAGGGATCTGATTTCCTTCTTCTGGCCTCCACAGATATTACACACATGTGGTAAACTTACATACATGCAAACAAAACACTCCTACGCATAAAAAATTGAAATTAAAAAAAAAAAAAGTTCACGTGGTGAGATTTTTTTCTTCTCATGCTTTTAAAATTGGATTTACTGAGAAATGGGCTTACATTGTCTTGCTCTGTAGGAAAGGCACCAATACCAACCCTGGTGGTGTAAGCTTTCACAACTCCATACACTTCTCCAACATTTTGAGGGGGCATACCCAAACCTGTACAAACACCTCCAACAGTACAGTTTGAAGAGGTTACAAAAGGGTAAGTCCCTAAAAATAGAAACAAACAGAAAGATGAGTGCATGTACATATATATATACTGTAAAACCACCAGTAAAACTGTGTGTTATGTATTTACTTTAGGTATCTGACAAAGGTGAACATAAGGGTCATTGCCCTCTCTCAAACCTCAATGTTTTGTTCTTGATTCTCTTTGTAATAATAAGATAAAAATGTAGGTGGTTAAAGCTTTAACTGAAGCATTCTGGCTGGAGAGGATCCCAGAGTGTGTGCAGCTGCTGATTTCTCTGTATGGTATGCACTCGTTTAGTAGTTATAGAAGAATTTCATGCAGAAACTCACCTACATATTTTAACTGACTTCTATTAATTTCAAACAATCATGACTCTCTGATGGACACATTTAGGGTACAGCAGGATCCTGGAGCAAGAGCAGCACATACAGAATTTTGTGGTGTTTAACATTTCCCCAGCTTTTAATGTTTACTTAGGCAGCAACCCCCAAATTACAAGAACAATTATGAGGGTGTACTTTTCTCCATTTCATACTTAACTACTGCATCTGCTCATTATACACTCTCCAGGCTGAGAAGGCATGTTACAGAATCAAAACAATGTATATTGATTATAGAGGAACATCTTCTTTAGTTTACTTGATGTCAAAAGCCAGGTGAAATGTCAGCAAGAGCTGACATTAGCATACGCACGAGAATATATTTATATTTAGCCAACAACACACTAATGAGTCTTGGGGATGAAGGAAATGCTCTGAGCCCACTAGAAAGTCTCATGCCCAGAGTGAGTGGATATTAAAACAGTTTCCTTAGATCTTAGACTACATGTGTTAAATCATATCTACCTTTTAAAAAAGATTTAAATCAAAGGTGAAGAGTCTCCCACAGAATTCATCTTACCTTTTTCAGTTCCAGGGAAACAAGGAGTTGAATCAAATCATGAACCAACTAATAAAATTCACAATTTACAGAACCCCAACCCCATAGAATCCAAACAATTCCATTTTTCTAATACGGTACAAAACATGTACTGTTTTCCACACTATTCCTTTAAAAAACCTTGGCACAAAAAGTTCTATCACTCCTGAATACACAAGCTAAAAGCACTATTTATAAGCCCCTTAATGCTAATTAATTATTTATATCTTAAGTACTTTAGGCTCAGTCAAGCTCCCTGTGAATCACATCTCACTTACCAAAATCAATATCTAATAATGCTGCATTTGCACCTTCTACCAAAATTTTCTTTGGTGGTCCATGTAGGGCCTCATATAGGAAATAAACTCCATCTCTCACCATCGGTTTAATCCTTTCCATATAACCCTATATATACAAAGACAAAAACCAGTTTCCATGTATACTAATACATTTACAACATAACCAGTGTTAGTATAAATTACTGATTTTTGACCGTGAAAACACAAATGCCAAGTAGAAAGGAGCTGGTGACGCTGCTCATCTTACTGCAACATCTGGACTAGCTCTGGTCTCTCATGCAGATTCTCGAGACCCAGAGAAAAGTGATTAGCAGTAGAAGGGCTAGGGGAGTAAGAGCGAGTGGCAGAGTACTTACCTAGCATGCATGAGGCCCTGAGCAACATACACATATACACAATATAAAAGCTCTAGATCAACTTCGATGGAACTAGAGCAAAATGCTCACTTCATACACTAGCTCTCAGGAAAAAATAAAAATAACTGTCTATATTACATGCTGCTTTTAAATTTCTGAGGTATTTGAAAAGCTGTATTTATAATTCCTGTAACCAACAATTTTTAAAGCTGCACCAGAGTGACACCAAAATGTGTTAAGAGCCAAAACTGCACTGCCACGCATGTAAATACTAGTGATTGAGAACTATTGTTCTTTTTTTCTATAAATAACTCCATGGTATTTATTGCTAGTTGGTAATATCAAACACCATTTTACAGATAAGTATTATAAAATGCTCTCAAAATAAGTGGTATTAGTAATGTTTAACCTCAGAATTTAGGTATGTATGAATATAAGCAAAAGTTTCCTTTAAGGCTATAGTACAACTGACTAAAACCTTGTTTCAGAATCTACTTAGGAAGCCACCTGAATGTATGGAGCCCACCAGCTAATGAACATCTGGTTCCTCCCTGGCGCTAGTCCTACTCTCTTGTTTATTCCTATCACAGTCTTTTCTGTATGGCTAAAAGGACTTCCTAGGCACTGCATCCCTTACTTGATAAAGCACTGGGCATGCAGCTGAAGATGACCTTGAACTTCTGCTTCTACCTTGTGAGCTACCATACCCACTTTATGAGAATCTTCTCATCTGATTCTATTTACTATTCTTCATCTACTTTTACTTCACATTTACAAGGAACACTTGCAAAACAATCAAAAGCCATATCCATACTTTGCACAGAACTATTTCTAAGTAGCTTATAATAAATTTAAAATTCTTGTTGTCTAACAGAATAAATGGAGGTGACAGTTCAGTCAATGAACTGAAATAGAAACATTCTGAAATTCTTGGAAATTAGCAAGTAAACAGACCTAAGGTCTACAACCACTCCAGATTGGGATATGGTATGTAGATTCTCATTCAGTTCTGCAAATTATGTTGATATTTTAAGTCATTATCAGATCACAGGAAACTGTAAAATTTAGCAATGACTGAGGAGTCTTCTGCTAGCTAACTCAGCACCACCAAATCTAACTGCTGCCAATGGTAGGCTCTGTCTGTGGCCAGTGGAGTTATTTGACCCAAGACTATGTACAATGTGAAAACTGACTTTGTATCAATCCTAAATGGATGTCCCTTTGCTGATCTATACTCCAACTGCTATGGGTGGCCTCTTTATAATGCAAATATGGGCTTCTTTCTGGTAAAAATTATGTAACTGCTTTACTGCTCTCTCCTGAATAAAAGCTAAATTCCCTGCAGGGATATATGAGACCTATGACCTGGTAGCTTCCATATACCATTGGTTTTCGCCATCCAATATTCTGTCTAAGTCACAATGAAACACCCTATGTCCAAGAATAACTCATAAATTCTTTTACCAGTTTGTACACAAAGCTGGACTAAATAAAAGATCTGAATGTCAATTTGGCAAATATACGAATTAAAAACCACATTAAAGAGATCAGAAAGCATTACCTTGAGTTTCTGTAATTCACCTTCAATGTCTATTTCCAAAGTAGGATATATAGATTTGTACTGGTTAGCTAGAACTTTGAACCTGAGAAATAGGGAGATCATGGCAATAACTATCTTAAAGAAAGAATACTTCAATAATACCACTCAAGTCAAATGATTTCTGTGGTTTATAATTGGTCGTAGGAGCAAATTAGCTCTGAAACTGAAGCTACTTTTCAAACAATACAATTTAATAAAGGAGATGAGCATATGAATAAACAATACACCCAAGTTTAGGACTAAATATAATTAAGGTGATGTGTGTGGTGAGGGGAATAAAGGACAGAATAAAACCTGTAAACACAAAATACTTGAACTGTATTACACTGTGTAAAAAAAAAAAAAAAAAAAAAACTTAAAATATGCTCAACCATT